CCAAGGGAGCGGAGCCCTTTATGTCTAAGACAACTCTAAGGTCAGACAACCATGAAATTTCAAAGGAGGAGCTTCGACGGCAGCATCAGGCAGAACTTGCTCGTCAGAAAAATGAAGAAACTGCAAGGAGGCTTGCTGGTGGTGGAAGTGAGGCAGGAGATAACCGCTCTTCTTCGAGGACTTCAACAGAACTTGTGGCGTACAAGAACATAAATGACCTTCCCCCTCCCAGAGAAATGATGATTCAGATTGATCAAAAGAATGAAGCTGTTCTCTTGCCTATAAATGGAAGCATGGTGCCGTTTCATGTTGCTTTCATTCGAACTGTTTCCAGCCAGCAGGACACAAACCGCAATTGCTATGTCAGAATTATTTTTAATGTTCCCGGGACCCCTTTCAGTCCTCATGATGCAAACTCAATGAAGTTCCCTGGATCTATATATTTAAAGGAGGCTTCATTCCGCTCCAAGGATTCAAGGCACATAAGTGAGGTTGTGCAGTCCATTAAAACACTCAGGCGACAAGTTGTAGCAAGGGAGTCTGAGAGAGCAGAGAGGGCAACATTGGTTACTCAGGAGAAACTGCAACTTGCTAATAATAGATTCAAGCCAATACGGTTGTCTGATCTTTGGATCCGTCCCGCTTTTGGTGGGCGTGGAAGGAAGATACCTGGTACACTTGAGGCTCATGTGAATGGATATCGGTATTCTACAACCAGGCAAGATGAGCGTGTTGACATAATGTTTGGCAACATCAAGCATGCCTTTTTCCAGCCAGCAGAGAATGAGATGATCACGCTCCTCCACTTCCATCTGCACAACCATATTATGGTAGGAAATAAGAAGACCAAGGATGTTCAGTTTTATGTCGAGGTTATGGACATGGTACAGAATGTTGGAGGCGGAAAGAGATCAGCCTATGACCCTGATGAGCTTGAAGAAGAACAACGGGAGCGAGATAGGAAGAACAAAATTAATGTAGAATTCCAAACCTTTGTCAATAGGGTGAATGATCTATGGGGACAGCCGCAATTCAATGGCCTTGAATTGGAGTTTGATCAACCTCTTAGAGAGCTTGGCTTTCCTGGGGTGCCTCATAAATCTTCAGTGTTTATTGTTCCTACTTCAGCCTGCCTTGTTGAACTGATAGAGACCCCTTTCCTTGTTGTCACTCTTAGTGAGATTGAGATTGTGAATCTTGAGAGAGTTGGGCTAGGGCAGAAGAACTTTGATATGACAATAGTGTTTAAAGACTTTAAGCGTGATGTCCTGAGGATTGATTCTATCCCTTCTACATCACTTGATGGCATCAAGGAATGGCTGGACACAACCGACATTAAGTATTATGAGAGCAGGCTTAATCTGAACTGGCGTCAGATCCTGAAGACAATCACGGATGATCCTCAGAGCTTTATTGAAGGCGGTGGTTGGGAGTTTCTTAATTTGGAGGCTACTGATTCAGAATCTGAGAACTCAGAGGAGTCAGACAAAGGTTACGAACCTTCTGACGTGGAACCTGAATCTGATTCAGAGGATGAAGATTCTGACAGTGAATCACTTGTTGAGTCTGAGGATGATGACGAAGAGGAGGATTCGGAGGAAGATTCAGAGGAAGAGAAGGGAAAGACATGGGAGGAACTGGAGAGGGAAGCAAGCAACGCGGATAGGGAGAAAGGAAACGAGTCTGACAGCGAAGAAGATAGAAAAAGAAGAAAGGCTAAAAGCTTCGGTAAGTCACGAGGAACTAGTCTAAGCAGTAGCATGCCCAAGCGAGCTAAGTTAAGATAGTTTTTTGGGTTTTGTTGTTAGCCGGTTTGAGGTTTAGTTCAGTTGTTTTGTGGTGTTGCTGCGGTTAGCATAGCAGCTTCTGTGTTCGGACTATGGAGCTGTCCTATCATTGTATCAACGTGTTTTTCGCTCATGTTATAGTTCAGCCACTAGTTAGCAATCCTTCTACCCAATGTATGTCTTTAAATTGTTTACGTGCTTTTATTTAATGATTGCTTTTATTTTTGCTTCTAATTATTGGTTCTAACTCTCTCTGTCGCCACCAAGCTATAGAACCATCATGAATGGAACCTGAGATCCATGCTATCATTGCCAAGCCCCCAAACAATTCCTGATCTTTAGCCCTAGGTTTTATTATAAGTCATGGATGAAATATCGAGTTTTTTCTCTATATTTATCATATTGCTCTGACACATTCCGGTCTGTGTGAATTGATAAAATGATGATTTGATAAAAATAAGAAATAACTGTATATAAACGGTACGATTATTCCAATGGCAATTTTATTTCAGCGGTAATCTAAACACTCAGACTAGCTATTAACCAAATCGTTTTTGGAAAGAATATCCAAATATGATCTCTATAAAACTTTTAAAACTTCTGCAAAGTAAAAGAAGTTCTTGTACAGAATAAAAGTATTGATATAATAAATATTGTTATTAAATTAAAAAATGTAATAATTATTATAAATAATAAATATTGATAAAGTAATGATTTTTAATAAAAATAAGAAAGTATGCTATGAAAATAATATAATTACATAAAAAAATGAAAATAATTTAATAGTTTAAAATCTAAAATAGTATAAAAAATTATTAGAAAATAAAAATAAGCATGATAAAAAAATTACACATAATAGTCAATTGTTGATATAATAATTAACATAGATAAGACTATGAAAACACAAAATTAAATTTTTTACAGGAAAATATAAAATTAAGTTATTTAAATCAAATTACATCAACTTTAATGTATAATGTGTGAAAAAAATAAACATTTTAAAAATTAAATTCAAATTAACTAAAACAATGTTAAAATAAAAGTTATTTATGTTAGAAAAATTATAATAATATTAAAATGCTTTAAAAGTATATAAAATAATGTAAAAATAAATGAAAATAACTAATATTAAACTAATTCCACAATCTTTATATATATATATATATATATATATATATATATATATATATATATATATATATATATATATTAGTAGTCGAAAATATAAAATAACAACAAATATTATAAAAAGAAAATAGTAAATAATGAACTAATATTATGAAAAAAAATTATCAAATAAAATATACTTATACCTGTATGTACAAAGTTCCTATTCTAGTGTTCTTTAAAATTATCCCATGCCTAGTTAAAAAAACAAAAACTAAGAGAACTTTCTTTATCAACATCTAACAATGTAAACACAAAATTTTACAACGATGAAATCATCCTTCAAAATTTAATCTTATTTAGTAATTAATTTAATAGTTATGTCCTTTTTTTTTTTTTTGGTTTTATTCTAAAACTGGTGTTTGTCTTTCATAACGTTCAACATAAATAATTTTATATAGTTAAAAAATCATAATTTTTTTCAAAAATTTGAGAATGTTGATTTTAGTCACAAAAATCTAATGGACAGGAAATATATTTTATTTTTAAGAGAGTAGTATATGATATAACTTCTAACTTTTCTTTCTAAAATTCACCATATTAATAAAAATGTATTCAGAATTATAAGACGATAAGAAAGAGATTCATTAAATAGACAAAAAGTAATATCTACCAACATAAAATTTTAAGTTGGACTATGATATATAATTTATAGTGTCATCCAAACTTATTTTTTATTATTAATATTTTTCTTAAAAAATAAAATCTAATTTAAAATTAGAGGTGAAATAATAAATTTAAATAGATAAAATTGTTATTTTTCGGAAAACACGCATTAAAAAATATCTCTAAAACTAATTTTTATAAAAAAATAACTTTAATAATTATTTAAATATAAAGATTGTTTGTGAAGAACTCAATGTGCTATGAATGAACATTGAAATCAAAGGTTACGAAACTTTGGGAAATAACACAAAACCTTGATCTTCTTTGGTGTGTGATTGTTTCTCTTTCATGCTTTGAGATATAGAACAAGGGTTAAAATAAAACAATTCTGCTCTTTGGCCCCCACAAAAACCAAAAAGGAATATATACTAAGGGGAAAAGTAAGATATTGTTAATTAATTCTAATACCATGCAATTTTTAGAGGGTGAACCAAGTAACGTGGTTGACCACAAAGTCAACAATGAAAACAAATCATAGATTACTTGAGGGGCAAGGAGGAGAAAAGTTCAAACAGTAATAGGTTTCTGTTCATAGATTCTCTTGTCGTATTCTCTTTTTTTTTTTGTTTTTGTCGTCTTGATTGATTCAAGCCCTTTTATCCGTGTTTTGCTATCTCTGCTTAACGAAATAGAGGAAGTGATCTCCAGTAATATGTTTCAGTAACACTCTTGAAATTTAATTCATTCCTCTTCACATTCTAGACAGCAAATCAAGGTATTTTTCTTCCTTCAATTCTATTCAGATACTTTTTTCAACTGGGGTTTTCATTTTCTGCTATGATTACCATCTTTTATGAATTAAATTCCTTTTCCCATTTCATTTGTTTCTTCATTGTTTTCTGTCTTTTATTATTATCATTATTATTTTGGTCTCGGAGAGATTAGACATAAAAAATTATTCCTTTTTGGTTTTTTGGTCAGTTTTTCTGATTTTGGTGAATACATGCTAAAATAGTTGTATGAGCAAGCCATCGTCTTTATTTTTTATTAATTTTTTGATTTCTACTCTTTATTTCCTGTGATTAATATAAGTGTGAAAAGGTTCACGTAGAAATCTTAGTTTAAGTTGTTGGCTGTGGCTCATTTCTAGAGAGACTTTATTGCTTGTTTCCTGGGAACTTTTGAGAAAGCTGCTTCCAAGAAAGGCCACAAGAAGTTTCTTTGAAGCTTCTGCGTCTTTCAGAGTCATCAAGTCAACCCAATTTGGATAGTCATGATGAAGGATTCCTCCTTCCTTCCTAGAAGCCTTCCTTTTGAAAAGAAGTCCACTATCCTAAACCAAGTCCCACTAACCAGATTCATCTTTTTGTTCACAGGTTTTGAGAAAAAGAAAAAGAGGTAGGATTCGTTTCTTGTCTGGAGAAGCACCAGTTTGCATCAATGAGTATTATGAAAAATCGAAGCTACCAAACTGTTGGCTCGACCTCACTAGACACTTGTGTTGGTCTTGTTTGCCACTATCAATTTGAAAATGGGTCATCTCAGTTTGTGTTCATGGATGTTGAAAGTGGAAGTGAAGCTTCCCTTAATCATTTCCTCTGCTTTTCCACTGAAAACTTTGTGCAGACCCTTGCTTCTTGCAATGGCTTAATTCTCTTGTCCGGTTTTCGTGAGGACCAATTCTGTTACCATATCTTCAACCCGCTCACTAAGCACAATGTCACAATCCCTCAAACTAAAATCCAAGAGAATGTTTCTAGAGTTGGATTAGCCTTTGATGGATGCCAATTTGAGGTTGTGCTGGTTGAAGCAGGTTCTTCACAATCCAATGGACTAAAGCTGCATGTTTTCTCTTCTGACACTGGCAAATGGAGGAGCCACAACCCCATCAACTTAACTGCTCCTCCATTGCCAGAATATGAGTTCCAAGAATTTGGCACACCTCCTCTCTATTCAAATGGGGCAATTCATTGGGAAATAGGTGGACATTTGTTGGTGTATCAAGTCCAAGGCAGCCATTTTGAGCTATATGAACTACCAAACTATTCTGAGGATTGGTATTGGCAACCAACATTGACTTTTCGCCGTTGCTTGTGTGAATCAGGAGGCAGGACTTACTATTGCCACACTGATTTTGATGGACTTCACATTTGGAAACTTCTCAATGAGCATGAGCATGCAGAATTCTTGTACTATTGGGATTACAAAACGTTTCCTTGGAGACTAGTCCATAGTGTGAACCATGAAATGTTCATGTCTAAGCTCCAAAACTTCTGTTACAACTTGTTTCATTGGGAGCCTTTCAAGATTGCACCCATTGCCTACAGTGAAGAAACACAAATCATATATTTGCAGCTTCCAGGATCTGTTGTTTCTTACAATCTTGATACAGGAACTCTGGGACCAATCTGCACCTACTCTTATCCAGGCACGAACTTCAATTGCTGCTCATTCTTTTCTTCAACTACTCGCAATGCTCAGAGTGACACCATCGGAGAAACAGAGCTGCATCTACCCATTGCAGAAATGGACAAGTTAGCCCTCTAACTCACATATATGTTACTACTACTTTTCTCCTTTTGCTTGCTAAACAATTATGTGAAAGTATCTATCTATGTGTGTAGAAGAAGAACACTAGAAAGCTTATAGACCAAGAACACTTACTGCTTATTCACTGGGACATAATTATCGTCTATAATTTGTATTTCGAAGATGTATGTCCAACAAGCACATTTTCATCTTTGTAAATAAATTTCTACATACTCACTTTTGACGGAAAAAATAAATTAAACTATTCTCAATATAACTAAAGTTTTCGTTGTTCTTGGTCCTCGACGAAAAGTTTTTTTTTTTTTTTTTTTTAAGTTTTTACCATTTTGTAAAACACCAAGATAACTTACTTGTAACTTTAAAGATCTTTTTAGCGTTCACGTAGTGATTAAAACTTTTTTTTTAATTAGGAACAAAAATTAAAAAAAAAATTATGAGTGACCAAATGCAATATTAGAAAATATATTAGGAATCTAAATTATAGTCTTAATTTTAATATTTTAACTTTTTTCTTTTGAAAAAGTTTATCCAAACCTATTCTATTTAATAAATGAAAGCATTATTTTTTCTTTTTATAAAACTTAAACTATAAAATTTGTTCATTAATTATATTTTAGGCTAAAATAGTTTTATTTAAAATCAACAAGGTACAATAGAAAACATTTAAAAAGAGGGATACAAAAAATGATGACAGGACAAAAACAACATTGGAAAAATAATATTAATGATGAGAGTAATTTTTAAAAGAAAATTTAAGATATATTTTTTATCATATGCCAAATTAATTAAGTCCAGACAGTCTGGGCCTACAGGCCTTCTTCAGTTTGGGCTTAGCATGACCCAACCTCGCCGGCAACTTTAGAGTTGAGCAACTGTCCACCTTTAAGTTTTGGGTTTTTGTTTTTGTCACTTCCATAATTGCTTTCCACATCTTATAAGGTTGTAATTATTGAGGGTAAAAATTGAAAGAAATTCGTAAAGAGGTTGTTGTGTTTAGTAAACGGCCTTTGATAATGAAAGAGGGTGCATAAAGCCAACAAGTATTTAAGAACAAATTCGTCCACTCACATGTTGCCTAGATATTTTATAACTATTGTTGCAATCGATCGTATGGTACGGAAACACAGTGTGAAATGTGGACGGTTGTTGACCAATATGTAAGTGCATTGAACATAACAAGGTGTGAAAGATTTGAATCATGGAGAGTACGTTACAAATTTCAACTACCAACAATATGGCCAGTTTATAATAATTACATTAGTTATATATCACACTTCACAATGCTTCAATTCAGAGTGTTCATACCTTTTACACAAAATACAAAAGTAGTCTTCGTTTATGTTGTTGTCGAATTATTAATATCATCGCAAAATTATTTTAAGAAGCGTTAGCGTCTGCCTCACAGATAAAAAAAAGAGTCAAAACTTTTCCACATATGTTTATTTTACGATTTAAGAGTAATGGCTAAGTTTTTATTATTCTATTCATATAATTATTGTATTATTATAAATAAGCATTTTTTTAATGATTAAATAAAGATATAATGACATTGTTAAAATGATTTATTTTTTTTACAATATATTGTTAAAAATTATAAAATTATTAATAATTTTGACCTATTTTATAAATTTCATTATTTTTATAATTATTGTATGTAAGAAAAATATTTTAATAAATCAATAAAATTTTACTTTTTTTATTTTATTTTGAAACCAGTATTAACCTCTTGTTTCGATGGAATTTCGATCGATTCCAATTCTTAAGATGTTTTGATTCTAATCGAAATTCAACCACGCAAGTTCTTTTTCACTTAAGCTAGCAAATTGATTTTCAATTGAAATGCATATGAGAATCGAAATTTACATAGTATTGAAAATGTTGTTTTTGGTATTTTATGTTTAGAGTATTCAAAGTAAACAAAGCAATAGAAGCGTCGAATCGAAAAGCAAAACAGAAAATTGAATTGTCAAAAGGTAAAAACGCAGAAACCTCAAATTTGCATTAAATGACAAGAAATTGGAGTAGCGAGAATGTAAATGGCAGGAAATCAAAATACGCAAAAATGTAAATAGCAAGGAATTGAGATTACAGAAATGTAAATAGCAAGAAATCGAGATTACATAAATGTAAATAGCAAGAAGCTTAAATGCGGAAACTTAACTTTCATTAAAGGAAATGACAAGGAATCGAAAGTACAGAAACTTAAAGTTGCTAAATATAAATTGCATCAAATTAGATTACCAGGGAAAATAAAGAAAGCGGTAAAGGTACTCAATGAGCATGGAAATCCAGATCGCCAGAAACTTCATAATGTTCGTCGTTCTCCGGTAGACTTCTCACTAGTATTTCTGTTCTCTGCCAATTTTTTCCACCCCCTTTCCTTTCATCTTTTGCTCTATTTATAGATCATCTTTCAAGTAGTCTTTTAAGAGCAGTTAACGAAACTGCTACCACGTTCTTCGTGCATGTTGCGGTTTCTTTTCCTGTGGTGTTAAAACTGCACCCACGTTCTCATGATCTTTGACCTCTGTCACGGTTAAAAAACTGCTTCTTATCTACGTGTTTAACTATTCTTCTCTTTATGATTTGGCCAAGGTTTCGATATCCTCGTAAGTTAATCTTCCCCTCAATTTCGATTTTAAGATCTCGAGAACTTTGAATTGCTTTCGATTCCTTTTAACCTTAACGTCATATACTTCTGATTTCTTGATTTTTATTCGACAATAGTCATTTAACTATTATTCCTTCGATTCTTGATTCTACCTTTCGATTTTATGTGTCACGCACTTCTAATTGAACATCGAATGGTTTCTCATCTATCTTTTCGATTTATCAATAAATTACATGTTTCTCGATTTTTCTTTCCTTCGTTTTTCGATCACTTTTCTCGATTTTCCACTAACACCTCTATACAAATTTCAACCTCTATATTACACTTATAATATATAATATATCATTTTACCTAATATTATTGTTCTCTCTCGTACAATATATTCATGAAAGAAAGAAGGAAGAAAAACGTACAATGTCAAATGAATTAAAAACATTTGTGCTAAAAGAGAATGAAAAAAGGAGGAGAATAATTAAATCAAGATAGAAAGGAAAAAGAAAATTATTGTAATGAGAAAGGATATAAAAAGACAAAAAGAGATAAGGAAAAAGGTTAATAAAATTAAGACAAAATAATTATTTATGTCATGTGCAACAATAATTATAAATGAATTATTATTAAAAAAAATTAAAATTAATTTCAAAAATTATTGTATTTTTTATTTATATATATATAACTTTTGTTGAATGGTGTGATCTCTATATGTATAAGAGTTGATAAGTAGAATTTTAACTATTAAAACCTAATGACTTCAAAAATTGGTGAAATAGATAGAATGATTAACTTTTTAATTAACTTAATTAGTAAGATGACGAAACAAGATATGTTAATTAACCTAAAATTAATAAAATAAGTTGATAGTTTTAATCCATCAACTTATTTTAATTTGTCTTACCTAATTTATTAATTCTATCGGTGAAAAAGAATGAAACAAGTTGTTCTATTCTAGTTACTTATTTTTTAATATATTTATATATTAAAATAAATATAAAAAAATAATTATAAATAATAATATTAAATATTTTATGTTATGTTGCATGTAAAAATATATTATAATATTATTATTTAAATTATAATTATTAATAAATTAAATTTAAATTATTAATTTTAATTAAATATTTATAATATATATATATATATATGATTATTTTTAAATTTATCTAGTAAAAATATTAATTAATAAATAAAAATTTAAAAGTGAAAACTACCTTTAACGAAACGAATTATTATAATATATAATCCATTCTTATTGTACTTGGTCAATTGTAAGGAGAGAAACCAACGAATACACTCATGGAATTCAAAAGGTTCATAGCTCAGGACTAGAGGAAGAATTGGGTTAAAAATCCTTGACTACACTCCAAACTCAAGTTTGTTAAGAAATATTTTAAATCCTTTATCCACCATTTCGTCGCTTTCTCTGTGTAGAGCATCTTCGGGTGTCCCCGATCCAGGACCATCTACTACACAATAACTTTTTTTTCTCTTTATCGTGCAATAACTTTTTCCACATAACTATATTTTTCTAATTTAATTAATAAACAATACTGCGAATAAAAATAATAAACAATCCAATAAATTAACCGCTACCACACCATTTCACTCCAATCAATTGTATTACACATTAAGAAAAAATACTTTAAGAAAAGAGTATAAAAAAAAAAAACAATAGAAAAGAAGGGATAAGAAAAGGACACATGGCAAATATAGGATAAACGGGCCTGCACTGCTAGTAGATAGGATTGTTTAGCCACACCATAGCCATGTCTTTTTTTCCTTTTTTTTTTTCTTCTTTTTGCAGACAATGCTGAAGCATAAAAACACAAATGTTACAGCGTCAATTTATGGAAAAATAATAACTTTGACATTGATTTTCAGCGTCGTCTCGTCAATTCAATTATTTCCATCTACATTAATTACACTGTTAAATTACTTTTAGTTATCTAATTATTGTAAGTTAATATATTTTTTATAATTTTCAATTCTGAATTGATGTCTCATGAAAGTAGAAACTTGGAAAAAAAATAGTATGTTTTTTTATTGGTTGTACTTTTTTTAAGTTTGTTTTATTTTTTATATTTTGAAATCGGTAGATTTAATTTTTCGACTTTTACAAATATGTGCTTTTAATTAAATTTTTTTACTTGTTTTTAATATTAGTGATAAATGATAATGATAAATAATAATATGAAAGGTTAAATATAAAATTAATTCACAATACAATAGTCTCATAGATATTTAAATTATATAATATGATATAAGTGGAACTTTTAACAATATATATAAATTTAATATTTATATTTTATAACAAAGTTAATAAAAATACTAAATGTATATATCTTTCAAAATTTAAGGATTAATTAAATAACTTTTAAAGTACAAGAAT